TTTCAAAGACACATCTGGCCCCAAAGCAAAATAATTTCACAAAATATGACCTGAGGAATAATGCTGGCTGCTGCTGCCATGGCAGTGGAATGTTGTGGGCAACTCCACAGAGCTGGTTTCCATCTGAGTGAGCAGGGGTCAGGACTGAATATGCTACAGGCCCAGAAGGGTCCAGAACAATCAAGGAGAGCAAGCAGCTGAAGAAAAATAAGTGGAATAAATATTCATTAATTTCCATATAATGATGCTAGGGAATGTTTATATTAAGTATACTAATTTTGTGTAATTTTTTTTCAGTGCAATTTGAAAAATAATAAGAGTACTACAGAGGAGTAACAGCTTTTGACTCTGGAGTCATAGAGGTGGTATTTGACTCCTAGATTGATCACTTAAGAAGTTTACTACTTTTCCTCAAGTTACTTCTCTTCTCTGAACTTCAGACTCCTCATTGCAAACAGGATGGAGATAAAAGCATTTTCATCCTCAAGCTGTAATGATTAAACAAGGGAGCAAATGGAAATTGCATTGCACAATAAATGGTTCATCCTGAATATTCAATAAATATGAACCAATTAGCAGGGATTTTTTTTTTTTTTTTTAGCCCTTTCTTTTGGGAGGAAAGGAGCAGTAACAGAATAATAACTGTTGATCACTTAGAGGTAGTGAGGAAGTTTCTGTTTCCATGACCTTGTAGGAAGATACCAAACTCCACCTATTCCCAGGAACACACACATTTACATAAGGAACTTAAAAAAAAGAAAAAGAAACTTCATAAAAACCAGCAGAACCACTGCTTCACATATGAGGAAAAATATCTATGGAAGCCGGTGGAAAGGCTGAGACCCAACCACCATACAATCAGCACCCCTGGAGTGGTGACTGTGGGGCTGGTGACCAGGAGGGAAATCAACACCCAAGGCGTCCCCTAAGGAAAAATGGCTTGTGTCCCACATGGGACACCCCAACATTTAAATGCAGCAACTGAGACATGAGTTCCAAAACATCTAGCTTTGAAAGAACTCAGAACTCAGGCCCATGAAACCCAGTGGCACCCAGATTTTTGAAGTTATTGCCAGGCATCCCTCTATCAATATCACTGGGCTCTGGTAAACAGTACAGTTTGAACTCATGGGACCTGTGGGACTGTCACAAGTGGAGAAAGCATTCTTGAACTACCACTGCCAGGGTAGTTTTTTTTTTTTTTAAAGATTTATTTATTTGTACATACAGAACTGGGGTACAGGCCAGAGACTCAGGGGCAGTGAGAGACTTCACCAGAGACAGAGTGGGGAGCAGAACAGGCAGATCAACGAAGTACACTGCTGAGGGGAGCAGTGGGCGGGTCAGGAGAGGTCTGCCACGCCATGTGGTCTCCTCCGGGGCAGGCGGGAATCGAACTCATGCGGAAGTGGCTTTAGCTTCTCAGTGCAATGCTTTAACCCGCTGCGCCACCAGGGAGGGCCGCCAGGGTAGTTTTTCGATAAAGATTATAAAACAGGCCTCTGAGCTTAACAGCATAGCTGAAGCCTGAGGGGTAGACTAGACTACTAATTAAATCCACATCTAAAGCGGGCTATAAATCTTTCCAGAAACTTCAGAGGGTGGGTACTAACTCTACCCTCTCCTTCTCCCATCTCCAGAGTGGTAGCATCTCTTAGAAGGTAGAGCTGCTAGATGTGCCTGGTGTCCAAGGGTTTAAGTCTGAGGCCCTGGTGTTAGTGACAAGAGATTTTCCTGGACTGATCGGCGCTAATTGCCAGAGAGAGGCTAGCATGTTTGACTCCCTTATAGGACTTAAACATAAGTGACAATGTATATGGATCATGAGGGCATTGTGCTAAGTGAAATAATTCAGCACAGAAAGAGAAATAACACATGATCTCACTTACATATGGAATCTAAGGAAAATAAAAAACCAAGCTCAGAGAAAACCGATTGGTGGGTGATGTGGCGGGGAAGGGCAAAATAGATGAAGATGTCAAAAGGTGCAAACTTCCAGTTATAAAATAAACAAGTCATGGGAATGTAATGCACAGCATGGTTATTATGGGTAATAACTGTATGGCATATATGAAACTGCTTAGTAGATGATAAAAATTCTCATCACAAGAAAAAAAAATTAGTAACATATAGTGACTGATGTTAACTAGACTAGTGTGGTGATCACAGTATAAACAAATGTTAAATCGATCTGTTGTAAAACTGAAAGTAATATAGTACTATATGACAATTAGACCTTAATAAAAAAAAAAAAATCTGTGAAATCTTCTCAACCTATTTACGACTTGTCAATTGACCATGGCTTTTATTAAAATCTTTTATAAGCTACAAAAAAAAATTGAAAATTCAATAACTAAGTTTATTCCTGTGTTTGAATCACAAGCATTGGTCATCAGAGAGCAGTAACATTCTAATTACATCTCTGGACCCAGGATTTGCCAATGAAGCAAATATGAAGAGTGCTGTGTGTCAAATTCATGGTTAGAATTTGGGAGACGTATTGCCTGGCACCTCTATGGTAGCACCCATGATGGCTACCCATGGACAGTGTCTGAAGCTCAGCACCCATCCCTGCTTGACACTGCCAGTCTTCCTTCAACCCATCAGCATCAGAAGTATATTCTTGCAAATGCAGATTTATGAATCTTAAAGAGTTTTTGGTCAAACCTGGGACACTTAACAGTTACTGCAGCACCAGTATTCTTCTCATTTTAGTTTGTTTCTCTAGACCTTGCTCACATATACTAATTCAAATTAAAACTCTGAAACTTCTGTCCTTTCCTGTTTTGGTTATACAAACAAGAATTATTAAATCATTGCTTAATAATCTTCTAGCTGTTGTAGGATCAATATTTTCTACAATTTTAAATGAAGTAAGGTTGTTTTCTTTATGCTCCCAATCCCTTGACACCACTCTTCAACTGCATTGTACTATTAAGAAAACCTGGCCTTGTAATTTATTCAATTCTGGCTATCAAGAGATTCAATTATTGTCATCTACACACTAAGTACATAGTAATGGTTTTATACAAATGAATGTTCACAATTGTTTAAGTTTGAGATATCTACTGATTGGTATTTTATTTAAATAAAAACAAAGATTAATAAATATAAAATAGACTGATAATTGAATAAATAGATCAATAAATGTCTGAAGCTGGAAGATGAAGTAGGTATTTTAAAGATTTTAAAGGCAGTCATTCCAATCTGCTTCAGGCTAAAACTTTGTATTCAAAGTTGATAGTAGAAATGCAAATTGCTTTTCCAAAGAGTTGTTTATATTGCTTAAGCTGCTTCTTATGTGTAAAGCAGTGGGGAAAAGGTAAGAAAACAAACACTTTCTCAGGCTTCTCATGATTTTTTTAATCTATTCTGTGCAAAAATATGGCTTACATTTTATTGCTGAAATGGAAGAACCTGAAGATTCCCAGTCTATAGTCTTAAGTTTAACAAGTATCTCAATTACTTGCAGAATAATCACTTCCATGACTTTAGTACCATACTATTTCACAGTTATTTCCCTGGTACTCATGCAGAGAAATTCTCATAAGAGACATGAACCCCAAAATGTTCAACTGAAACCACACTGTGACAATCCATTATTTTGATTATAAATAACCCAGTAATTTGCATCATTTTTTTTTCTGTGAGACCAAAAGCTACAAAAACAATTTCTTCATAACAATTTCAATTTTGCTAAAATGTTCTCAAAAGAACAATAGATGATGACAAACTACTATTTCCATTCTGAAGTTTTTTTCTATATCTTAGCAAAGGTGTGGAATAGCTGCCTTGGTGCAGCTTCAAATTCGTTTTTCCAAATAATAAATGATTTTCTAACCCAATTAGAACTTAACTAGCTAGTTTGTGGAAGTCACGAATTAATCTAATAGCTTTATTCTGAACCTTTGAACCATTATATTCACAATCTTCCTTCGCTCACTTAATTGTCTAAAAAGGGAAAAATACATTGAATACAAATAAATTTTCTTTTGACTCAAAGTCCTATATTGTGGAGTTTTCTATATTGCAGATGGAGGTTTTGATGATGTCAGCAAATGGGATAAATGTGCGCAGACCAGAAAAAGAATCCTGAAAGTTGGTTTTTAAAAATTGAAATACTTGTTGGAAGTCTTACATTTCACTCCTTTTTTCTTCTAAAAGAAAATTATAGAGAAGTAATTCAGTTCATTAAATGCTAGTTATCTATATTCTGTGTGTTTATAAAAATATAAAAGCAACATTTAATGAGGTGATAGGATAGCAGAGTTGATAGATTAAGTGGAGATTGAAGTATATATCCATCTCAATTTGAAGTTTGGGTTACAAAAGGAGATTAGAGCACAAAACAAAAGACACGGTTCCACTAATAAAATCCTTAAAAATAAAGATCTTCCTCTTTATCCATATTTTACTTTATCCATATTTTACTAAGAGCAAAGTAACCTAAATAATTGCACTGACAAATAAACCCCAGAATAACACGATTTATCTGTGGCAAATAGATCCTGCAGCTAGAACTCATGAAGATCTTGTCGTTCCAAAAAGCATCTGCTTTAATGTTAATTTCTAAACTCCAAAGCCAATTAATTATCACATTGATATAAGTGGTTGTGTAGATATATTGGAGAAGTCTGACAAGTAGGTATTTAACAGAATGATGTGCCTTTAATTTGTAGTCAAATTCTTTAGTCAGATCTGTTATTGGGTTCTCACTTTAGAACCCTGGTTTTGTTTTTCCAGTTGTAGCTCTTTCATTCCCTAGAAGAAAACATATTCACCCCTATGCAACATGAGGGAAAGAGGAGAATGGGTTAATATTCTTATTTTGACTTTTTTTGGTGAACTTTGAGACTGTATATCCCAGTCCTCAATTCAGGACTTTAAAAATGATTTACCTTATATTTTCCATTTTCTGCTTATTTTACTGGGATTTCACAGCAATTTTTGAATGGAAAGTTTAATGTTTAAACAATGCTATAAAGATAAATGAATCCCATCTGGTATAAGTAAATCAAATACTGATGCCCTCCAATGTCATAGCAGCTTTCTCATTTGAGTTGAGTCATCACAGGAGAGTCAGGGAAAGTCAGCCAATCTTCAGACATCTTGCCATCTTTTTAGGAAAGAAAAATTACCTTCCCTAAATTCTCCAGCTAAATATTCCATAACACATGTAAAAACAAGTTGTAACTAATTTAGAACATCTCAATTATCTCATGTCCATTTATTTTTGGTATTCTTGAATAAGTAGCATGACAATAAACCAAATATGTGTGCAATGCTGTGTGCCACAACTGTTTTCCAGGCTTGAGATTGAAACTCCTAAGTTGTTTTGACTGGGTAACTAATAGCAATTTAGATAGTTCTGTACAAATTTAGAGACATGAGATTCAAAACCATATCTGTATTCCAGCACATTCTTCTTGTCAGAACCATTTAAATCACCATCTTACACAAGTACATATTGAAACTCAACTTTAAGCATTTTATTTGTATGTACATTTCATTTGTCCAGAAATAAAATATCTAAATACAGACAGACTGTAATGTTGTATATGTATAGCTTTCAACAATACTGGAGCTTAATAAATGCTTTGTACATTAAGTTTGTCTTTTAATGGAGTTCACAGCTACACTGATAAAATGGATTCCTCATATCCTTTTTTTTTTTCTTTTTTAACCAATAACAAGCAGGGAGACAAGTACAAGTTAATATTAATAAGCAGCTCAAATAACACCTGGTTAAACTATGTACAATACAAACCATTCATACAAATGAAGACTAGGATATTGAATTTGTTACAATATGTGTAGTAAAGATACGACAGACACTTATCACTTATATGGTGTCTGTCAGGCAATTCCCTTCTTATATAATGATCAGAACTTGTTTAAGCATCCGTAGTTGGTCTTGACTTTGCCAAAGTCCAGTGAGTGGTCATGAAAGCTGTAATCCATTGTCTGCTCACATGTAAATTCCAAATGTTTGCTCATCTTTACCAAGAACAGGCTCCTCCATAGAAAAAAAACAAAAAAAAAAAAAAAAGAGCCATCGTGTATCACCTTGAATGTGCCTACTGTATGCTGGGAAAAAGCTACTACACTTTGTTGTGTTCATAAAATAAAGAATACTGAGCTCTAAAGACACATTGTTTTCCATTTTAACAAGCATATACTCCTACAGTAGTATTTACCAGTACAGCTACTCCAAGCAGTAGGAATGCATGAATGGGGATTATTGATTAGCATGTACTCAAGACTTTAAAAGAGATTTCCATAGCATCAATGTTAGAAACCATTCTTTGTTTAGTTAATCCTTTTGCTTGATGATAGTTTATCCTGAACCATTATGAGCCAGACAATGAAAGCCCTCCTGACAGGAATCGTGACAGAGGCAAGCTGAAATGTGTATGAGTGTGTGTTCATGTACATCTAGTATGAGAGCATGTCTTCCAATGTGGCTTTAAAATCTGTGATTTGCAGCTATACTGAGATGAAACTGACTGGGCAGAAATTACATCAGAATGTTTTCCACTAGCGTTTTTGCAGCCAGTTGACAAGAGCAGCAGTGTAGACACATTCCAGGCAACAGATGTGACCTTCTTCATTGAGGTAACAGCCCTGTCATATGACCTTTAATTCCTCAGGCTTCAGTCTCACCCACATGTTCATCCTCATCCAGAGGGAAAGTAAGGTGTGTCGCTATGGTAGTTGTAGTCAGGGCACACTTTCTGTACTAGTTTATAATCTGTACTATAAAAGGAAATGTAAATACAGATCACCTTAAAGGGCTTGGAGCAGAGCCAGGACACGTGACTTTGGGTCTGCTCCTGGTAACAGGTTTTTGAAGGGTCATAATTGCAGAGTGTGTTCTTGGTAGCCTTGTCAACTTTTTCATACTCAATGCGACAGTTAAAGGACTTGGAATCTTTGGCATCAATCACGGTTTGTTGTGCCAAGTCGAATTCCACTATTTTTGTTGGGGGCACCAAGCTGACCGATACATTCCCTTGACCAGTGGAATTGTGCCTGAAATAAACACTAAATGTCCCATTGCCATGATCTACAATTTTCCCAGTTATCAACAGGTTTAGCTTCACTGTTTTGATGTTGGAATGAAAATCACCCCATCCAAACATTTTTTTAAACTTGCCCGTCTTAACAATAGGCCTTCGCTTGGCCCTGGGCCGAGGCTCTTGAGGGTCTGTGGAGTTCCTCAGCCAATCCCAAAGGTCTTGCTCAGAATAAGGTTCTGGGGTGTCATATCGAAGGTCTAGATCTGTATCGTTTTCTTTGCCACGAAAAGTCTGTGACAGGAGTCGGCTGATAGACAAATCTTTGCTGCTTTCTGTCCATATGTGCTTTAGTGTGGATTTGCTGCTTCCTGATTTTAGTAGTTCTGACTTTCCACCATTTGTTAAGTTGGCACATGTGACCTGAAAATGAAACAAACAAAGAAAAATAGTGTTTACATCTCTCTATCTGAGCACACCCCACACATATAGAGCCAAGCCTTTTCAGAAACTCAGTATTAAATGAGGACACTGTTCTTAAAATACATCCAGCATCTGGCCAATATTTATTAACATGTGACAAAATGCCACTTTAGATTTTACATAAGTATGGGAGAGAGGAGATGTACATATCTAAAGGGCTGGAAAATGATACAAAAATTCACTTTAAGCAGGAAAGAGCCACCTAATATGCATAAGGCTGACTGAATACAAACACAAATCTAAGTAGCTATTTTAGTACCAAACTTACAAAACATCTGCAATAAGATTTATAATCACTGTTATTTTTCAACTTGAAAAAAATTAAAACTATATGATTATCTGAAGTATGTCTCCTGATACCCTATAGACTCTTGATAGCACATGCTACAGTCATAAGAAGTTAGTTTTGCAAAGGGACTCTAGTATATGTCAACTGGTCAAAACAAAGTGCCATCCTTATCATTACTGATGGCATGCAGAAAATACATCACATAAGATGTAATATTTTAAATGTATTTAGTTTTGCATTGAAGAAGTGGGGTGTAGGCTAGAGGTGTGGGGGATGAGAGGATTCATCAGAAATAGAGTGGGGAGTAGAACAGGCTGATTTACTGAAATACACTGCTGAGGGATGCAGCAAGTGAGGTAGAAGAGGTTTGCTATGCCATGTGGGTCAACTCCATGACTGGGGATCCAACTCAGGCCACTTAACTGCAGAGAGCTGTCGAGTAGTAGCATTGAGACTTAATCCATAAGTCACGAGGGAGACCCCTAAGATATAATCTTTTATCTTTAAAAGCTTAAAATGTGGTCTAGGTAAAGGGGTGTAAATAGAAATAGCTAATAAACCACTTTTTATAGATAATTATCAATCCAGAGAGGCAAAAACTAAATGGTTAATGACATAGGTCACTCCAAGATGGAGAAACTATTCTAGAAACTCAGCCTTATTTCTTTGGGAAGAATTAGATTCCCAATTAATTGATGAAATGTCTGAATCGGTACTTGCCTAATTACATAGGCAAGTATTACAAGTATACAAGTCCTATATTTACACCTAAATGTAGAAGAAACAAATGCATACCCACAATGACTTCATGGTCTAAAGTTAAAGCAGTGCCTACTGATTTTGATTCAGAGGGCTCAGTCACATAGGAATCAAATCAGCCAATATAGATTAATTCTTTAAATGTAGACTGATTATTCTAAATCTGCTGAAGGAAGTTCCCAATGGCCTGCTACAAAACTATGTTTCATAGGAAATGTCTATTGCCAGACTCCTTCAGAACCATTACCACTTTGCCTTATTACCACTCAGTAACCTCATTGGACCCTCCATTCTCCTTCAAAAGTATTCTCAACATGAGAGATCATTCCTGCAGAACTTTTCAATTCAGGGTTATTAGAAACTAGAGATGCATTCTGGGGACTCCTCCACAGACTTGGCAGTGCAGGCAGTTTATAAGGGCATAACCCTAGTTTGGGAATTGTCTCCAACTCTCTTTCATTTGCACTAGGAAGACTATCCCAATTTTTAGGGAGAAAGTGCATATATTGTAGGCAGTAACTTCTTTTGAGAACTACTATCAGCTCTGACAACCAACCTGCATGCCCTTTACCAGGTTATTTAAGACCTTTCTGCCTCAGTTACCTGTCTCTATAAACTGAAGGTAATGACAGTGCTAACCGTATAGGTTTGCTGTGAGAAATGAGTGACCTCAGACATGGTTGGCACATTAAAAGAGTTCAAATCAATTAAGGGATTATTATGAATTCCAAAATGACATATGAAGACAGAAAAAAGGAGGCCATCAAAAGGTACATATGGAGGTGAGGCCTGGAAGTACTTTTGCCTTGGTCACACAACCAAATACTGGGAATTTGCATGGGGTTTGTTCTCCCACAAGCATAAAGGCAGAAGGTATTGATTATGGAACTAGAACTAAACCATTTGGATTCTGTAATCTTTCCTTTCCTTGAAGACTTACATGCAATAAGTTTTTCACTATCAGCTAGTAAATAGTTTCTTCTCTGCCCAGTTCAACTGAAACCTTTTGAGTCCTGTGGGACTATACCCACTGGGGAAAAATTACAGTGGAAGCTGGCCTCTTCTCAGTAACTGTGAAGTTAAGAAAATCTACAAGTTTAGCCCATATCAAATTCATTGCACTTGAGAGCAGTGAGATTTTACACTGGATTCATGTCCACAAGTGAACTTGAGCAAGACTGAAGCATTGGCAGCTTAACAGAAAAGTTCTGTCAAAAATTCCAGCTTGGCCCATTCCCTTCCATTGTGTTCCTCGGGCAACAATGGTGCCTTCATAGAATGATCCAGAGTCTATTGTCCACACAATGTAATGAAAGGAAGACAAACACTGAGCAATTAAGAAACAAGTCTTAGGGATGAGAAAAGGCCCAGAAATAATGGACAGATTGCAATGTCCATCATGGACTTCCTGTCCCTTTAGTGCTCCTTTCCCTATCCTTAAGGAGACAATGGAGAGGTAGATATTCTTGGTGGAGTGGGATGATGGGAAGAAAAGCATGTATTTTTTTTTATAGATTTATTTACTTATTCATACAAAACTGAGGTATAAGCCAGAGGTGAAGGGGTGGTGAGAGCATTCACCAGAGCAGAGTGGGGAGCAGAACAGCTGAGAGACATAGTACACTGCTGAGGGGAGCAGCAGGAGGGTCAGGAGAGGTCTGCTGCCATGTGAATCACCTCCAGGGCTGGGGATCGAACTTGCACTGAAGCAGCTGCTGCTTTCTCAAAGTGCTGCGTCCTAATCTGTGGCACCAATAGGGAGGGCCCGCTTGTCTTTTCTTAAGGGAAAACGATGAAACTACCCACGTACGCTATCTATACAATAATGACACCAGTCCTCTACAGGTCCACTCTAATATGAAAAGTCTAATCCTTAGTTCCATAATTAATATTTTATCATGATAATTTAAACTAATGGGAACAAAAGTTCCCCTACTAGTGCACTGAAGGAAATAAATTCCAAAGTACACTACTTTTCCATAATAAAGAGTAGTTATAAAGTTACAAAATAAACATTAATTAACAAGAATAATACAGATCTTTTGGGTTCAGCAGGTTTGTGTGTGTGTGTGTGTCTTGTTTGTTTTGTTTCAATGAAATCTGTTAGTCTAACATCCAAATCTGTACTTATGTGATTGTTAAATTTGTTCTTATAATCTATATATTTATACCTCCATATAAAAGGAATAAAGGCATTTCCAGTTCTCTGAATTTTGCCTAGCATTACATAGATTATTTCTCATTCTTTGAATTGTCAATAAGAATAAACGGAGGCATGCATTTGGTATAAACTTGGTACTTGTGTCTCATCATCAAGATAGTTGATCAAATAGAGGGGATGTAATGAGATGGCTCCATGATGTACTGGCTCATGGAGCGGTAATGGAATTGTCCCAAAGAAGGAAGTGAAAAGGAACTCAGAGTGCAATTTACCAGTGGCATATGTGAGTGAAAGAAATAAATGTGGAAATGGGAGATAAGATTTCAAGGATAAAAACCAATCTCTTCAAAAGGATGCTAGATTCTGACAGACAAACAAACCTCTGATATTCAGGTAGGATAGAAGTTTAGTTCCAACTTATACTTCTCAAAGCTTGTAGAACTGAGTGTGAACTCTGAGATCAGATTGAATCCCAGCCCAAGAAGTAATCTATAACAGCTGTATGATGTGGGTGAGTTGTTTTATTTGATTTCACTTTTATTTTTCTCCTCTAGAAAATATTGGTTTCTAGACAATGGGGATCCATCTCCTTCACAAGTCTGATGTGAGAATTATAAAAGGACATTCCTTCTAAAGCACTAATTACTGTGGTGAGTGAAGTTACTGTTACCTCTTATATTTTTACCTCTGAATCTCACTGGATAATAGTTTACATAAATGAACAATTTACCATAGGATTTGAGAGCAGAAGTATTTCATAAGAGAATCGCCCTTTTACAAAACATAAAGCAGATCATCAAAAAAGAAAGCATATAATTTTGAAAGTGCTGCACTGATAAACTAAAAAATCAGTAGGTGAGTCACTCTGCAGACACAATTCAATTTAACCAAGGATCACCATAATTTTAGCTAGTAAGCTGTTCAACTACCAAATGCATTAAAGGTATTTGCCTTCACTGGTGTGATGTGACAAGTTTGAGTGCTTACAGTCCAGAAAGCTCCCTGAAATATTTTAGTTTGGGACAGATTCACAGCAGGTTTCTGCTGCAATTGTCATAAATACTTTCTTGAGTAGTACTTTCTTTCTCCCTTTCCCCTTTTTCTTAGAATAAGAGAGCAGCAATGCAATATCTGAAAGAGAGGATTAGTCATGAAAAATCAGAAAGGGGGCTTAGGAAAATCTACAGACCTATTCAGTATAAACAACCCTAACTTACTTCATTTTACTAATTCAATAACTATATAGTGAGACTCTACTGCTACTGAGTTCAATAATAGGGTTACAAAGATAGATACGGAATAGATACTTGCCCACAAGAAATTCACAGTCTAGTGGGAGAATCTTAAAGCAAAATTACAAAGTTTCAGACTATCTAATACTTAAACAATATCTTTCACTTTGAGCTGAGATTAGTTAATCAACATAGTGTGATATGAGTAACACAGTATACAACGTAATAGGAGTCACAGTCAATGTTAAAAGGTAACCGAAGGGACAATCCTTAGACCAGGGAGATAAAAGAGGATTAGGAGTTTAACAGATAGAGAATAACAAGATGAGCTCTTCTAAGCATAAGGAACATATGTGCAAAAGTGCAGAGAAGAGAAATGTCAAATGTGAGAATGGAAAATAGTTCCTCTCTGCTGAATTCCGGAGCAATGACAGGGAGGAGAAACAGAAGACAAACCTGCAAGAAAGCAGTAGAACTTGAAGAAAGTAGGTGTTGTCAA